GGGTACAGCTGATTTCAATGAGCGTACTGTAAATATTATTGTCAGCAGCTCGTCAGCCAGGATAGTGGTCGTGTATGGACGAACTTACGCCCTCACATCAGACCTACACATACCCCCAACAACGTCCAGTTTATATGTACGTATATCGTATATTGTGTTTCATTGTATCACGTGGCGCCGGATTTGCGGTCGCAGCAAAGAGGCCGCCCCACATTTTCTATCGACAATCTCCGTTTCTTCTACCCGCCCCTTTGTTCGCCATTTTCTCTCCGGCGCGCATCCTCGTCGCAGAGCAGTGATGAGGCTTGACATTACTCCTCATATCACATGGCCCGTCGAACCGCTGCGCAATCAAATGATAAAAGAATCATGATGGCGATAATAATATTACTAGCACAAGAGAATTATAATGTGGGCAACAAAAAGTGGTAACATGGGGTGGGGTCAGCTTTCAGTAGTGGGTTGCATAAATCGAAAAAAAAGCAGCCTTCGAACAATTTCCGGATCAGCCGATTCAACTAGCCTTAGTTCAGCAACAGCATCTACGCGATTACGTTCAATGGCTCGCCACGAATAGGTATACGCGTATCTTTAGTGCACTGTACGTACGTACGTACTATAAATAGCGGGTTTATTTCGAGAGCATGCACTATATACCTTTCCATAACTGGGGCAATATATGGGCCATGTAAAATCGTTAGCCCATTAACCTGCTGTGTAGAGCTTCTTGTTTCCAGCCAGGTACATAATTAACCGCAACAGATTGGTAATTATTGAATATTCATCATACGTATATTCTTCATTCTGTTTTGATGTGAATAGGGGGCATTTCCTAGAAACAGCAATCATTCGATTTTTGCTATTCAGCTATTTTACTTGTCTGCTAATATGTGTAACATTATATACCATATAGCTGCCGTACGCTCACAGTAGCCCGTCACACGACCAAAGGATCATATTGTCTCTTATCGATATCATTTGGCCTAGTTAAGCACTGTTCGATCAGCAGATCGAGGAGATGCGTTACAGCATTAAGGTAGCCAACCTTCTGGGCCTGTTTATAGCTCATCCTCTTCAGGCATATTATATTATACAAACACAGTAAAACAAAATGTCCGTATATAATTTAATATCGGTCATTTATAAATGTTGCGCTAAATCGTCTGGAATAGGTGGATCATTATTCGCGAGCGAGACGAAGCCCTATTCTTCTATCAAAGAAAACATTTAGCTTCAAGGGAAGGATCACTTCGAAGGATTTGACAGACGCGCTTATGAATTCCTTCATTGCATTAGTTACTATTGCGTTGCAGTCGAAGCGACGCATGAAATCTGTATATACGCTTAGTTTTACCCCATTTTCTTCGTTCCTCTTGGTGCGTTACTGCTGAGTCACAGCACTCAGTGATTCAATAGGTGGACCTTCCAAAGCAGCTGCTTCTAGCGCCCTTTCTGCTGTATCTGGAGATTATCACTGTTCCAACGGTGGTCCATTAGCGGCGCTGAGCTCGCATGTTCGTACACAGCCCCACAAACATACACGCACGAGACCAAACCCTTATCGACCATTTCAGCCATGGCAAGCGTCCACGCGCCGGCAGTGGTACAAAGCTAACGCAACAAAAATGACATTTTCCACTCGACAGGAGCCGACAGGGAGCGTCCGCTGCTAAAGTCAAAACGGTCAGAGTGTGGTGAACATAGCAATAAATGGCACAGCAGATAGGACAGCAGTTTTCTATAATTTTGCCACCTCTCTCGCCGTAACCTCAATCACCACAAGCCTAGTAAAGGCCAAGAACAACACCCTCTTATTTATCTACCGTCCGCCGGATCTGTTGACTCGACCACAATGGTCCCTGTTAGTCAACCCAACGAGTCGGTTTATTTTACCTAAGTGAGGAACAGAGACACTAAAGTCTTCATTGCCGCCACTAATGCTGGCACAAATGTTGATGCCAGTGTATACAGCCATAAAGCCAGTCTGTCCGATCAATTCGACGGTAGGGTAAGGGTCTATGAAAAAATTCTGTACGTTGAACGTCTGATAAAGACTGAGATATTCCTGGTAGACTTGTGGAGGCTTGGCAAGGCACGCAATAAGCTCGTCAATGTCTCGTCAGATCCCGCAAGAAAGACATGGAACGAAGCTGACCGAATAAGGGCACGTTTTTCGGCTGTCGGATAGTCGATGGCGCAACAGTCAGACAGATGCTAAACTGTATTATAAGACAGGAAGGAAACAGGAGTTGATGCTTACTTCTTCCACCCTGTCGATACTAGAGTAAATTCGTGTCATATAAAGGCTTAGGTTTTTCTTTTTTATAATACAACGGATCGGGAAATAAGGTGAAAACCAAGCGAGTGAATAAACTAAAGAACTATCTTTGGCAGCAATTGCGAAAGGTACCAATGGCGCAGAGCGTTCCCATCAATAAATCTTTGTCATGCCAAACACAGAAAGAGCAATATTTGCCCCTCTTGAAAAGAAAATCTCACTTTTTTTGCACGAGAAAAATCTGTTTCAGTTACACTTCTAACATCAGTATTAATCAATATATACAGTCACTTCCCTGTGAGTTCGTCTCTAGCTGAAATTTATCGTATTTGATGAGTCCAAAGACTGCTAGGTAACGACGTAACAGCAGTTTATAACATGAACCGTTAACGACGGCGGCGGCACCAGTCATTTTGAATGGCCGGCATAACAAAGCTCGTCTGAGCTTTTAATCTACTATTGCTGGTTTTTGTAGGTTCCATGATAGCTGACATAGAGCAACAGGTAGCTTGTTTAGCTCGCTATCTATGCTATTACTTTGGAAGATCTTCGCTACTGGCGTCACCTATATTTTTTTTAGTGTAGAAAAGATGTTTCTTAGACATACCGCTCTCACCGCAATCTCTCTATGCGAAGCTGGGCAATCGCTCTCGCAGATATCGCAAAAACAATTTTTGAGCAACGATAAGCACCCATATACATACATCTATACAGCGTATGCCGAAGTCTCATTGTTCAAGAGTATAGAATAAATCAGCTTACAAACTGACACAATTTTCACAAGTCAACACAACTCAATTCGAGAGCGAGAGGGAGAGAGAGAGGGGGGAAACGGAGAGAGAAACACATTTCGAGTTCGGATTGGCCGACCGCGATAGTTTTAGCAGGTGAAATCTTGTGTGATGAGCCCTAGTTAGCTTTTATGGATGGTTTATATAATACCGGCACTTGTAGGCGCTGCTTTATTTGTCTGCCTAAGACCCGACGATGGTCTCTCTGACGCCTCCACTCGTCTTGCGGCAGGTATGGCTTAACAAATGGCTCTAGATAGGACCCAGTGCCCATTCATCGTTAGTTTGTAGCCCTTCTACATAAAATCGTGAGGTTGGTGCTGACGTACAGCAGTCAGTATGCGATGCGATACTTTCGCTAGATCTAGATAAATGAGTTTCTATTATGAGTGTTCGTAGACAATTAAGTTAGCCTTGTAATAGGTACGTACGAATATGTGCAGCGGGCCCTGGCGGTATTGGTGCATGTATACACACCCTCGACACAATCGGTCAATATATAAATCTTGTCCTATTAGTCCCGTTGATCTAAATCATATGCGTTATACATTTTACGGGGAGTGAGCGACAGCCCATGATTTGTCGTTAGACGATTCACCGATCGAGTTCACAGATTTTGTTGCCGGAAACGAAACGGGCTCGTACGCTGCGACCACACAATGTACATCACTAGATATACATATTGAAGTATGCGTAACAACCTGATTGCATATATAGAAACGTTCATGTGTCTCGTATCGATAGCGACGGACGGCTTCGAACAGAGCCAAACTGAATTCTGAATACGCATGCCAATGCCGTACACTGAAGTACCGGCCGTCATAGCACATATACATTGTGCGCACATAAAATGTACAGAATACATTTTGCGATATGAAACGAATAAACAAGCCGTAGCTGTAAAGGATCCAGTTGACACAAATGCCGAATCGATTAATTGGTAACGGTGAGCGGGCGATATCAACCTTAACTAGAAGCATCAGATTGCAGCGTGTGCGCCTATTTCCACCTTCTCAGGCTCTCACTATTATAGTTAATGCATCAGAGCCTTTGAGTTTAGAATACGTTTTGTTCGCTACACAGTGAAGTCGAAAAAAGCAACGTGTGCACCTTTAGTACAGCCCTCCACGAATACAAAGGGGTTGCCGCCATCAACATCAACAACAACAACAACAACAAAACCGCCATAGTCGAGCCATCACAGAACCACGCTTGGCTACGGAACGACAGAAGTCGACGGCTACTGCTGCCGCTGTGGTTGGTGATGTTGCTATTGCAAGCGGCAGCCATGAACCGTCAGAGCAGGCGACTGCTACACGAGCTAGATCCATCGCACCGGCGAATTTACAGGGAACGGATGCTGTTTGTAGGCGCACCGTTCGCGTCCGATGTTGTCGTGCTGCGGTTCGTTTTGGCAGCTGTTGACGCTGTCTGCCACTCCGGCGTCTGCCCGTCGTGTTCGAAACGGCAACACGCGCATCAGCGCCGAACAACGACGAGGAACAAGAACGCACTGACCAGGGAACGCGACGGCCAATCGATTAACGAACTCACAACTGGCAGCACAACGCCAGGTGGGTATGAGATCAGCAGGCCAAATGTCCTCGTACTCCATCGTTGAGGTGTGTTGTCAATGGGAAACGTATAGCCGAACGCGGTTGAACGAGTCGTACTAGATACGTATCTTGAATTAGTATTGTTGTGTTGACGTCGCGCTGTAACGTCGCCGTTGACGATGCGAACGTTAATTGATCACTGCTAGCTCACTGATCGCCGGGAACGTCATAAGTTTGCGACGAGGGAAGAAAAGGTTCGACGACAACGGCAGCAATGGCGATGATGAGATTACTGCTTGATTTTGTTCATTCGTTGAGGTTAGCTAGCTCCTTCATTCGCCAGTTTTCGTCAGTCTAGCAACTATGTACACTCACCTTTTTCGAGAAGACCGGCAGACCCGTTACTTTCGGGTTGCTGCTCAAGCAGCGCAAGAGGGTCGAGGTGCTTCGGCAGCCTCTGCTTCCTCCTTGTGGACATCTCAAACAATCCAGGTCCCCTGTTTCAGCTGAGGGACAGCCACTGTCCTCGTACACACGCACACACACACACACACACCCCGACAGACCGAACAATGCCGGGCCGCGGAAAGCCACTGGGGGCCGAGCACACGCTCAGAACGTGAGCATGTGCAAGCTCGCCACGATCACCAATATCGGCATAATCACAGTCATATTTGATTACTAATTCTTACTACTTAGATATTTGTTGTCGTTCTCTTCTAAGAGGCTTGCTTCTGCTTCGACTTTTTCGTTGGCTGATTGCTTACTTCGTTGATCTATTCACGCACACATGACACTCACGTACAAATGCACGTGTAGACAAAGCACAGAACACGCACAATAGTGTGATTGAGATTTACATTGAAATGATTGCTAGAAAGAGACACACTCACACCCACCGTGATGAATGACTAAATACACAGGCGAATTTTTGGGAGCCACCACTGCTACTAATATATATATATATATATACACAACACGTAAAAAGGGAAGTGTGTACTCGAAGAAAACAATTTTATTTTGAAACTGTTGATCTTTTGACTGACGTTCGTTTTTCTACTGTTGATCGAGTCACCGATAATATCTTCCTTCGTGCTCCTTCTAATCAAATTCGTTGCTGATTTTTCTTCTCACTCCAACTATTTTTCTTCTATTAACTTCTCCAACTATTTTTTCCTACCGCTCAACTGAATGGAAACCCAAATCGCAACTCACACAAACCGCTCGTTACTGGTGCTGTTGTTGTTGATGATAATAGTAACAGCCGTACGCCGGACGATAACAATACTGTAGTAACTGAACAGTGATCTCGTTACAATCCAAGGCGGTGCGATGTTTCCGCGCTGTTACCTTTCTCACCACCGAACAACAAACGGAACGCCACTCAATCGAACGAAGGCAAGCCTTCTTTTGCAAAGGACTTCTGATCGAAGGGACACAGCAAACTCCAACCTTTTGTTGTGAATTTATCACGTTAGACACATACGTAGGCAGTTTCTCTAAAATTGGTTGCAATCGGAAAGCACCAGATCCGTTGTCGGTTCACTCACCGCCGCTGATCTTCGTTTGGTGTTGTTGATGTTAGTTATCTTCCAGTAGTTGCCTTCTCCTGTTTTTTCCTTTTTCAGCAATGGCTCTTTTTTCTAGCATGCTTTAACTGTTGCTGTTTTCGCAGATTTTCGGCCGGGGCGGTAATAAAGCCCGCACGCTATGTCTTCTGTACTCTATTTGATGCGTGAATGTATGACTGGCTGGCTGACTGGCTAACCGATTGGGGGCAACAGTGAGCCGTTGTAGTAAATGGTAGATAACAATGGCAGAGCAATAACGATGGCTGATCTGCTGCTATCCTATTGTGCTCTAGTATGTCGTAGTCAGTCGAGCAATAAGCCAACACCCTCCGAGTGCGCGCGCTCCGACTCCTTCTCCGATCGTCTCTGAGCTCTTAGTCCGTCCCGGCCGCGGGCTCAGCCCTCAGAGCGACAGCCACATCTCATGTCACTTGCCAACAATAGCTCGAGACCGATTGCTAGAAAACTGTCGCCCATCCGAGCCGCTAGGGGGCGCTAGCCCGTCAACCGCGGCGCCATTTTGCGGCGCCCTTTCCCATCAGGCGGGCCAATCAGAGCGCGCAGCGGGCGGCCGACAGCGGGTCTGCATTCGTCGAAATATGAGAGTTATGATTGGTGTATGATACATATTTCGAGGGGGCGGAGCGATCGCATGCACCGCCTCCGTCAGCATCGCGACACTACAGAGAAGCCGACGATACTACTGGAACGCGCGCGGGATACGTCATGGGACGGGATAGCGAGAGGGGACAAGTGCGGCGCGGCAACGTCTCCAGCGACAAAGACGACAGCGGCGACAAGACCGCCATCGCCCGTCATAGCCATCATCACCAGCGCGGTGCTGATGCTAGTCGTCGCTGCGTGTGAACCATTGCCGTCGTAGTCACACAAAGGGGGTGGGGGGAGACAGTCAGTGCGATGAGATGTAAGCAGCCAGTCATCGTACTACGGTACCAGCGTTAGTGGTACCGCCGCCGCCGCCGCCGCTGCTGCTGCTGCTGCTGTTGCTGCCTCGCGAGTTAAGTCGCCCACGGCATGGGCAGAGACGGCGATGACGACGACGACGACATGAGGGAGGGAGAGTGGAAATGTGAGAAAGAGAGAGGGAGAGAGGATGGCGCGGTAGTTTTGAGGGATAAGTTTTACAATGCGCGCAGGGAAGGTGGTCATTTGCGCGACGAAGGTGAACTCTTACAGAGTCACGGGACACTGTTCGAAATCAAAGGAAAATGAAAAAAAGCAAACCGAGCAGCAGCTGGAGCAGTAGTAGTAGCAAGAAAACCAAGCAGCGAGGTCGAGCTATAGACAGCTACCGGCTATATAGCAAACACTAAGCATCTAAGGGAAAAATACACAAGCATTTTATCATTTTAATGCAGTCACATGGCCACAGATAGACTTGAAGAGAACATCTTGAGAAAACGTTAAATTATGGTAATACTATTGGGTAATAAATATAAAAACATAAATAAAGATTTTATTTAAAATAGATTTTGTACACAGGCGTTGATAATATCAGGAACTTGATAGAAAGCATATGGTTTAGTTACCACAATTGAGCTCCGCACCTGGTTTTACCTATCTTATTATTATTTCTCCGTGAGTTGAAATGTTTCACTTATAATTCTTTTGTCGCGAATTTTGCCGAGCTAAATAAACCGAATCATATTCCGCATTTTGAAAAGTTAAAAGATCTAATAAGTAGAGTCTATAGACAGCACCGTACTATCGTAGTATTTAACATGCAGTTATTAAAGAAGCATATTCGAACGTAATCTAGCCATAAAGCGTAAAGAGCTCAACCTATATTTTTGATTATCACGTTAATACGATGCATCAATCCAAACCTTCCCTATTGTGAAGTTTTACCTCTGACTATCGCTTTACAAACTTGCGTAGCTACTTTTGAACAATAGGAAACCAAATGTAGTCACAAAGATAAAGCTTTGCAGATAACAAAATATAGGGAACACCATCATGAAAAAGAGAAGATGCTTGGAGCTTACCTCCTCGAACGGTGGCAAACTAGAGTTTGAGTTGACGCTTTTTTCAAAAGAGTTTCAGTTCCCTTTAACTTGAACGTACTGTGCTTCCTTCATCGGCGGCCTTGATTGAAATCAAGGGTCATATCCCGCAAGAACGCAATTTTAAGAACTACACATTTGCTAATATATCAGATTGCAGACGCACGACATCAAGGATGTGAGCAATAATGGAAACCTTTAAAGCACACGGACAAGCTTCAGCTTTGCCTATTTTCGCTCAGTGTCTGGCAAGCAATCTAATTTTGTTCAGTCTCTCGAGTTGCTGGTCCATTTTTTTCACGATGCCTATAATTTGCAGCATATATAAACACCGTTTGATAATAAACGTGGCAAAATGTTTGTTAAAGGAGATTCAAAGAATTTGTATGTACTGTTTTTTTTCTATAAGTCTCTAGCGATGCAAGTGCTTTGTATACACCTCTTGCATAATTTAGCTTGGCCGTATCAGACTCCAGGTCTGCCGCCCGAAACATAGCTTACCTGATGGCTCGAGTTGGCTTGACAAGAAAAGCCGCTTCCATCCAAAGAAGTGTATATATAAATGAGGTGTTTGTTGGTAGGAGACGAAAATCTAAGGCTGTATGTATGTGTTCTTTACGTTTTTGTACAATTAACTGACAGAAGCCTTTCCAGTCATTTAGCTGCTTAGAGTTAGGACAGCTTATTTGTATGAAACATTAAACTGCTCTTATTAAATTACTACTATTGTTATTGGCAGTATTGCGCTAAATAAGCTGTATGACTACCAAAAGCTGCCAGTAACATCTGAGCAATACAGATATAAAATACGTTGCGGAGATCCTATCGGCAGAATAGCTAACCGACAATCCCTTGCCTCGCAATCTTCATGTTTGCTTCATCTAACATTAAGCTCTCTTCTTCAGCCGACCCCAAAATCAAATTTAGTCTATCCGGAAATATTGCGTTGTTTGCTGCTTAATAAAATGCTCACAATGTGCGGCTCTATTTCTGAAGGAGCTGTACATAAATCTCTATACGTAAGAAAAGCCAAAGCTGATTGCGTGCACGAAGCATTCAAATAAGATGAAATAGTATGTACGTATAACTTTATGAACGTTACGTATGAAAAACATTTTCTTTGATTTTGCTTTTACGATAACAATAATCTACAACGGTAGCAACAACACCTAGGTACTGTGTACGGTCCAAATCGTTCTTTAAATAAAGCTGGCCTAATTTCGTTTTTATGCGTGTTCTCTATTCTTTGTGAGACCTGGATATAGATAACGCATCTTATATAATCAGCATTATCGTGATCAGCTAACAGAACGGATAATCAACGTCGTGAAGGAGAAATCGTTGTTCTATCCAATAGCAGGCACTCTGTCCTGCCAAACGAGATCCGTTCGGCGATGTAACTGTTAAAGGCTTCTATTTGCGATTATCTAGCTCCACAGGTATTTGTCGCTGTTACTGAAACTGCATTCTTACTTCCATATTTACTATATTGATAGATTTTTACGGATTCGTGAAGTTTGCCGTGAAGTGGTGTTTTGTTCGCATGCTCATACTGGAAGCACAGCCTTCGTTCGACCGATCGTCTTACTTCTGCTGAAAATCGTCGGGTAATCAATTTCGTATTCAATTAGCAATTTTCAATGTTTCCGCTGTTGTCATCAGACGCAGCGATAATAGCCAGAGAATGGATGTACTTTTTTAAAGTGTGCCTGAAATAAGTTTTTGCAGACGATCCATCGCTTACCGCTGCAACGTCGTGACTCGAGATGAATACCCGCTGCTGTACAAATGGACTCGCGACGTGCTGAGTTCATTGATCTACATCGAACTTACCGTAAGGGAACGAAAACGAAAATCAATTGAACTCCTTTCCAACTGGTTCACACTTATCGAACCCCTAATTCTCATCTGCCTTCGTACCACTGGTTAGCATAGATAATTAAATGAAGATACACGATGCATTCGAACACTTTTAGGGTGTTCCAAGCTGTAAGCACATCGGAGGTGACGACTAGGGTTGCTGACAGCCCCGCACCGGTTTGTGGTTCAGAACCAACAAGCCGGCCGCTCCTAACCCTAATGTGATACCAGGCCGCCACGAAATACTTACAGTAAGCTAACGGCCTCTTCTTATTAAAACGGGAATGATACACAGGCCAAAATCAACAACGAGGCCTCATACATCTACAAGCTCAACTAGACATTCTACAGATACTTACGTATAGACCGTATTCGTTTTCAGGGGGGCCTGGACTCCGTCAGTGGAGCTACGAAGATGTTGATCAGTAATTTTAACCCGTCTTCGAATGTCAGTACCAGCTGGAGAACATTTATACTCGTCATCGATACATGGCGAAACTATAATATCTCTGAGGACTAGGAACCAGCAAAATGGTTGACTCCGAAACCCGGATCAAAGCAGAAGAGGCGAAATTGAAGAATGAGAAAAATACACACAGACTTTGTCGCTGGTCTTGAGGAGCTGAGAGAGGAGAGAGAGAGAGAGAGAGTGTGTGTGTGTGTGTGTGTGTAGAAAAAGCCGGTGCTGGCTGAACTCTAAAATGCTAAATATTGGGACCGACTACGGGAAAGACCCAGCAAGTTAGATTGGGTGGCTACGACTGACCACAGTCCGAGGAGAAGCACTGTTTCTGTTGTAGATCGATGATCAGAGAATTATGCTCAGTATGAATGTTTCTATTGGCTGAAGGGCGAACTGCGTCTCGATGCTCTCCTGTGGTCCTGTTGATACGCTGACAGACATAGCATTTGTCCATACAATTATAACAGGATGTGGCACGCTAACATGGCCGCCGGTGCTGCCACTTCGGCTGTTTTAGATGAGAGCCATATGGACCTCGGTCAAAGCCGTAGACGACGACGATGACGACTATTTCTGCTTCGTTCAGTAGGACGCAAAGCACTGAAGTACAAGGTGGTCAAGGTTAGCTAGGTTAGTTTCCACAATAGATGAGACTGATACCAGTGAATTAAAGCGTTTAATTCTCGTTTTAGCTCACTATATATGCATGTCGGAATGGGCTGGGTTCAGCAATAAGTTGGGTTAATACATACACTCACAATGTACGTAGACATATGTGGAGTAGTTGAAGCTTTTCACCAGAAGTTTTCTTTACTTCAGTAGCCCGTGGCGTGCTCGCTAGTAATATTTTCGCTACCGAAGTATGTGACCGTATGCGCTCGATTACTGCGCAGTGTCTTCTGCTATTAGTTGGAGCTAGTGATTTCGCGAGCCTGCCTGTTTGGCTGACTGACTGACTTGCTTATGGCGCAGAGTACAAGCACTACGATGAGGGGTAAAGGTGGGAGGTGGGTGGTCGTCGATCACCCAAAGGGCTGCGACGGACCT